TAGTTATCGACTAGAGGGGGGGGGTGAATAGGCGATTTTTATCAAAGTCTTCAAAACGTGGAAGTTTCGAAGACAAACAATAGAAATAACCTAATTGATATGCAGCGGAAGATAAACTACAACAAGCAAGCCATAGTCAAGTATGCAATAGCGTTAACGTACGAAGACTAATAGCAGCTAGGTAGTAGGATCAGGATGGAAGATAGTATGAAGCCAATCAACAATAGTAGTCAAGCAATGAAGTCAATCAGATAAGACAAATAAGCAATGACTTCACGAAGACAAACTCAAGTAAAGGATGGAAAGGGATAGAACCAGTTGCTTGTTGAAGACACAGGATTTGTTGGACCAGTTTCAGTTGCTGTGACAACTGTACGTCTGGTTGGAGCGACTGAGTATTTAAACTCGAGAACACCCAGTCCCGGACACACAGTCCTCACCGTATTATCCTTGAGCTAAGAACACACAGTCCTCGCCCAATCACTCTGGTAAGTCTTCAAGGGAGACTTCCAAACCTTCACAGACTTCGTTCACCGGCAATCCACAACGACTCTTGGATGCTCAGAACGCGACGCCTAACCGGCTGGAGGATTCACAGTCCTCAAGTGTAATAAGTCTTCAGGTCACACAGACAGAAAGACTTCAGTGATGCCTAACACTCTTTGGCTCTGGGTGTTTGGGCTTTGTCCTCGCAAGGATTTCTCTCTCTCTCTCAAATGCTTCGAGGTGGGTTGCTCTCAAACGACAAAAGCCATGTACAAACTCTGAGCAGCCACCAATTTATGGTGTAGGGGGTGGGCTATTTATAGCCACTAGGCAACCCGACCTGATTTGTCCAAAATGACCCTGGGTCACTAAGGAACTGACACGTGTTCCAACGGTCAGATTTCAAACACACGCGACAACTTTACTTGGGCTACAAGCAAAGCTGACTCATCCAGCTCTGGATAAGGTTTGCTCTCATTGTCTTTGCTCGAAGACATAGGATTTGAGTCGAGCATCACTTCAGTCACTCTGACTTAGTTCACTTGGACCCCACTTAACAGTACGGTGGTTCCTATGACTCAACAAAGAAGAAAAGGAAGCAACGAATCCACACAGTCTTCGCGCTCCATAGTCTTCACGCAATGTCTTCTCATGTCATAGTCTTCAATATGAATATCTTCTCATACCACCATTGTCTTCAATGTCTTCATACATTTTTAGGGGTCATCTTCGGTAGGTAAACTGAATCAATGAGGGACACTACCTGCGTTATCCTGCAATTCTCACAAACGCATTAGTCCCTCAACCAACTTTGTCGTCAATACTCCAAAACCAAATAGGGGTGGCACTAGATGCACTTACAGGTACCGAAAAAACATAAATAAGAGGGAACAAATACTGAAACAACCAATTGGTTAGTTAAAAATCATACCAATTGATGTGTTGCCAAAAACCTTGTGTACATATGCAAGTTGATCTACTGGATACAAAATATCCACTTGTTCATTTAGATGAAAAGACAAGTTGATCTATTGGGTACCAAATATCGCTTGTTCATTTAGATGAAAAGACAAGTTGATCTACTTGGTACAGAATATCCGTTTGTTTTTCTCGATGAAAGACAAGTTGATCTACTCGGTACAAAATATCCCCATGTTCATTAGATGAAAAGATACTGTGTAGTTATTTGAGTACTGCATAGCCTAAAACATTATCCTGGGGCATGAAATATACTGGCTATGGTTGATCCACAAGACATAAACTGAACAAACCGGAGCTAAAAGATACTTATTTTGATTTCTCATGGGCATAATCATAATTACAATCATAGGAAAGTTCTTTTACCTTTTGATAAAGTTGGGATGTGTTTTTAACTCACTGAAGAACAAAATAATTTAGTTTTAATATCATCATTTTTCTTGTAAATGTATACATTATAAAAGAGCACAAATAAATCATGCAATTTCATATCAAAGCGGAAGCTCACTTAAAACTATATTAGTCCAGAGAAGATACATTTAAAACTATATCACAGCTACCTTTCAACTTTTTATAGAAAGATCGATGATTTTAGAAAGAATGTTTTAAAAAAACTGTGATTTTTTAATGTTTTCTTATTTTCTTATTACTTTTATATTTCTTTAATCATTTTTTGAATTAATGAAACTCGCGATGTGGGGCTAAAGTTTCCAGGTACAGCTTACCCCACTACTAGCAGGCCGCCGCCCGGATGGATATATGTGGATCAGGCCCACAGAAAATACTACCCAGCCTCTCTCGTGGACGGCCCAGGTTATACGTCAAATTCGGCCCACGACGAGACGGACACGGACCTCGTCTCTCTTCTGATTCTACCCGGCGAAACGCGGCGGTCGCCGAGATCCGCTCCGCGCAGCCTCGCCGCCGCGTTCGACGAGGGAGCCTGTTTGGGATGTTTGGGATGCGGGCCAGCGGCGCGGCAACGCCGCGGGTGGTGGGGCGGACGCGCACCTCTACGACGACCCGGACGATGCCGCCGTACCGGCGCTCCTCGACTCCCACTTCGACGGCGGCAAGTTCGACTCGCCCAAGCACCTTCTCGCCCTCATCTCTCTGGGCATCGACGTCGCCCACCTCTCGACGCAGGTACGTCTAGGGTTCTCCTCTTCTCCTCTCCTCTCATCTGACGCGGCGGATTCCGGTGACTGAATTGCGTGTGCTTGCGACGCAGGCGGTCATGAACTGGAGGCGTAGTCGTTTGAGGTGAAGAAGCCCGCGTACTTGCTCCACTACGCTGAGAAGTAAGCCCCCTCATCTTCACTTCTCCCTGCAATGCGAAAATCAGAGCCAAATCCCCTTTCTTCTTCTTTTCTTGCCGGATCCGTGCACCAACATTTGTTCTGTCCGGCGGATATCCTCTTTAGGCGTTTCACTTTCCTCCACTAGCCGACCTGAGCGGGATGGTATTGAGATGATGCATGCTTTTTCTCCTTCCTCTTGACATCTTTTCTCATCTTCTCCGGTGATGTCCTCCCCTTCAATCACAAGCATCAGAGGAAAGCTATCCCAAGTCATGGCTGACCTTATGTGGTTGCTTTTCTCCCTCTTCAACCTCCCATGTGGAGGTCTGCTGTGCGGTCTTAGGTCTTGATTCTAGCTGTGAGTAATACTAGTCGAACACAATCTGATTGTAGCTGTGAGTAATCCTAGTTGAACAGACACGAAGCGTTTGCATTCAGGCAAACTATTTGGTGAGGAAGTCTGAAACCTACACAATGCTTCTCCAGTGAAAAATTTCCGTCTGCGTCCAGCATAGTGCACGGAGTGAAAAAATCCACAAAATTAAATCATATCTGTGGGTAATCCTAGTCTTATTCCTTCCTGAACACCGTTGCTTCAGTTGATCAAGTACTTCAAAACTGGCATGTGATATCTATCATTCATAACTGTTTCTGTCTTTGCCTCATTATCTGTCAAGCCGGTGATTCTTGAAAACCTCGCCAGCAAGACAATTTGTTCGAATGACTTGGTGGTGGTGTCGCCTGATGTTGGAGGTGTTCCCGGAGCACACGCTTTTGCCAAAAAGCAGATGCACCTCTAACAATTGTAGACAAAAGAAGGCATGTACACAACGTTGCCGAGGCAAGTAGGATTATAGCTGGATGAATTGGCGCGAGTGGAAGAACGGCTTAACTTGTTTTACATTCTTGTCCACAGTGGGGTATATGAGCAGCTAACTAGGATGCATAGTAAGAGAATACTCATCAAGGCTCTTTTGTAGTTGGTTACGGTTTATCCACTGCTAGTCAATCTGCTGGAAATGTATATTGCATGTGTAGATGTGCTGTTTCACATGGTGCATGCTAGTTTTATTTTTCCATACTTTTATGTGATCAGTTCTGTCAGATTAAACAAGCACAACTTGTCATGTGCATTTATTGCAGGTAATGAATCTGATTGGAGATGTTAAGAGGAAAAGTGTCTGTTATGATGGATGATATGATTGGTACAGCAGGTAAGTTATCCCATTTAAGTTGTAGGAAACATAATTCTAAGATTGACCATCTCACAGAGGGGCAGTTGAGCCATGATTCATTACAATGATTAAACGCAGAAACTAAATATATATAGTTAGTTAATTTTATTTAACAAGGTGTGGATGCAAGTCATATGACTTGCAATATAGTTTAAACTTGGAAACATGCTGAAGTGTTCCACATTCATGTTTGACAACTGAGAAAGTAAATTACAACATCTGTTGCATACCAAAAGTGGCTACCTTTTGACAATCTTTGCTTCTGAATATGAATATCCTAATAAGACTATCACAATTAAATTAGGAACTATTGCCAAGGGAGATGAGCTGCTGCATCAAGAAAGAGCAAGAGAAGTCTATGCATGTTGTACACCTGCTGTTTAGGTACACTGTTTTTTATGCCCATTCCATAATTTGTCTAGTACTAGGAACTATTGCCAAAGGAGTATGCTAGATTAGCTACTGAACCCGCTTTGCTATGGGAAAGGCCCATCACTGCACTATATGCCTAGTTACAGACTTGTTCCATGGAACTGAGAGTTTGATGGAACCAGAGTCTACACCAATTCGTGCAAGCAATTCAGAAAGTGTGCACTGTGCTGTTACAGTCAAACATTGTATGTCGAATCTAAACTACAAATCTGGATGGATACAGTAACTTAGCAAAATAGCAGGGAAAAGAATTCAGTGGTGACTATTACCAAATCGTTGATGATGTGCAAAATTTGGTTTGAACTCATTTGTGGCATTAGATTCGCGTCTTGGAAATGTGAACCCAAAGTGCAAACCTTAAGTAGAGTTTGGAATAATTATGCCGCCTTGCTGCAATTTCTGTTCCTGAGATGCAATCGTCGAACTCGAATTTGAGTCATATGTTTCATTCTGTTATTCTGTGTTAACTTGTTTAGCTCTGATTTCTTACAAGTATGTTTCACATCCCCTTTTTAACCCACCAGCCATTGAGAGATTATCAAGTGGTTTGTTTCAAGAAGTAATCATCATGAACACTATCCCTTCAAAGAAGCATTCAAGACTTTATTGAGCAAGGCAAGCAACCTACTTTGATCATGTTGAACCCATATTTGCATTACACACTTAAAATTATTTTGCATGCATAAAGTATTGTTTACTAGTATTGCTATGCTAAGTAAATTAGCTAGGGTTTAGCTATGCTCTATGTGCTTGATATTGACACCCCCTTTGACATTCTTAATACCCCTCGTTTCTAACCGGAGGAATACATACCCACTTGTCACAAATAAATTTGGGTCATAGGCGCAAGTTTAATAGTGCTTAGCCATGCAAGTCATATAAATCCTAGGACTGGGGAATAATCGTAGCACATTACCCCAATATGGGACGAGGCTGAACTTAGTACCTTGGTCTGTTTAGTGTAGAGCCCTCACTAGGTGGATACCTTGTACACCGTGACGAGAGTGGAAAAATATCAATCATGGGGGACTATGTACCATCGGGTGGACTCTATAGTTGCATCATTCTTGAGAAAAGTTTTGTTCGATTGTTCAAGTCGCGTAGACCTAGCACCAAGATACCTTCAAGATGCAAAAGCCTGCATCTTTAATTGTACAAAGTGCAACTTAGTCAGAGTTTCTCCTCTCTCAAGCTTAAGCCTTTCTCTAAACCAAACCTATCCTAGGAAACCCAACCTAGCTATCAAGGATGTGATAGCGTGGACTTATATCGATGTACTTAACTTATGGAATTGCAAGAGGACCCATTAAGCACCAACAACTTTTGATTGGAATGAAGCCCTACATGAAATTGTGATTTTGTGAGTCAATCATGTTACATCCTTAAGCCCCCAATATGCACCAAGTTGGGTGGTGCCATATTGAAATGGTTTTCATCAGTTAGAAGATGATGTAGTTTGATGGTGATGTAGAAGTGGTATTGGGGAGATAGAAGTCAAAGATGTACGGTGGATTATGAGATTTTAGGGCTAGTAGGTGAGCATGATGATTATTTTATAAATGGATAAACATATCTTTAATTAATATTGAAACAATTTGGATTTAGTTTGGTGATTGTGATCTTGAAGCAAATTTCACGGTGGATTATGAGATTTTATGTGGATTTAGTTATGTGATTGTGATCTCACGGTGGATTATGAGATTTTATGTGGATTTAGTTATGTGATTGTGATCTTAAGGAGATAGTTAAAAATGTTCGGTGCATTATGAGATTTTAGAGCTAGTAGGTGAGCATGATGATTATTATATTGTTTGATAAACATATATTTAATTAATCTGTAAACAATTTGGCTTTAGTAAGGTGATTATGATCTTTAACTAAATTTCATGGTGATTTATGGGATTTTAGTCTAGTATGTGAGCATGATGATTATTATATTGTTAAATAACGAATCTTCAATTAATATTACAATAATGTATTTAGTTAAGTGATAGTGATCTTGAACCAAATTTTACGGAGCATTATGAGATTTTAGGTGGATTTAGTTACGTGATGTGCTCTTGAGAAGATAGTCAAAGATGTTTGGTGGATTATGAGATTTTTGGGCTAGTCGGTGAGCATGATGATTATTCTATTTGTGGATAAATATATCTTTTATTAATATTGGAGCAATATAAATTTAGTTAGGTGATTCTGATTTTTGACCGAATTTCATGGTGGATTATGATATCTTAGCCTGGATTTAGTTAGGTGATTGTGATCTTGAGAATATAGTCAAAGATGTTTGGTGGATTATGAGATTTTAAATCTATGATATCTTAGCCTGGATTTAGTTAGGTGATTGTGATCTTGAGAATACAGTCAAAGATGTTTGGTGGATTATGAGATTTTAAGTCTAGTATGAGCATGACTATATTATATTGGTTGATAAACATGTCTTCCATTAATCTTGGAACAATTTGGATTTAGTTAGGTGATTAAAATCTTGAAGCAAATTTGACAACGGGTTATGAGTTTTTGGTGGCTCTACTTGGGTGATTGTAATCTTGAGGAGATAGTCAAAGATGTTCGGTGGATTATGCGATTTTAGGTCTAGTATGAGCATGACTACTATTTGGTGGATAAACATATTTTCAATTAATCTTGGATTAATTTGGATTTATTTATGTGATTTTGATGTTGAAGCAAATTCAATGATGGACTATGAATTTTGATGGATTTAATTAGGTGCTTGTGATCTTGAGGAGATAGTAAAAATGTTAGGTGGATTATGAGATTTTAGGTCTAGTATGTCAGAATGACGATTATTATATTGATGGATAAACAGATCTTCAAATAATCTTGGAACACTTCAAATTAGTTAGGTGGTTGTGATTTTGAACCAAATTTCACAATGGATTATGATATCTTAGCCTGGATTTAGTTAGGTGATTATCATCTTGAGAAGATAGTCAAAGATGTTCCATGGATTATGAGATTTTAGATATAGTATGAGCATGTCTACTATTTTATGAATAAATAACCATATTTTGAGTTAATCTTGGAACATTTTGGATTTATTTAGGTGATTGTCTTCTTGAAGCAAATTTGATGATGGATTATGAGGTTTTGATGAATTTAGTTAGGTGATTCTGATCGTGAGTAGATAGACAAAGATGTTCGGAGGATTATGAGGTTTTTGGTTTAGTACCAGCATGATGACTACTACTATATTGGTTGATAAACATATTTTCAATTAATCTTGAATTCTTTTGGATTTAGTTAGGTGATTGTGATCTTGAAGCAAATTTGATGATGGATGAAGAGTTTTTGATAGATTTAGTTACGTGTTTATGATTTTGAGGAGATATTCAAAGAATGTTGTGGATTATGAGATTTGTGAGAATGGTGATTATATTGGTGGATAAACAAATTTTTAATTAATTTTGAAACACTTTGGATTTATTTAAGAGATAGTCAAAGATGTTTGGTGGATTTAGTTTGGTTATTGTGATCCTGAGGAGATAATAGTTAAAGATCTTTGGTGGTTTATGAGACTTTATGTCTAGTATGAGCATGGTATATTATATTGGTGGATAAACATATCTCTCGTTATTCTTGGAGCAATTTGGATTTAGTTAGGTGATTGTCATCTTGAAGCAAATTTTATGATGGATTATGAGTTTTTGGTGGATCTACTTAGGTGATTGGGATCTTTAGGAGATATTCAGAGATGCTCAGTGCATTATGAAATTTTAGGTCTAGTATCAACATGACTACTATTATATTGGTGGATAACATATTTTCGATTAATCTTGAAATAAATTGGATTTAGTTAGTGATTGTGATCTTGAAGCAAATTTGCCGGTGGATTTAGTTAGTTGGTTTTGATCTTGAGGAGATAGTCAAATATGTTTGGTGGATTATGAGATTTTTGATCTAGTATGAGCATGACTATTATTATGTTGGTGGATAAACATATCTTTAATTAATCTCGAAAGAAATTCGATTTAGTTAGGTGATTATCACCTTGAAACGAATTTGACTATGGTTTATGAGTGTTCAGTGGATTTTAGTTGAGTCACTTTGATTTTAAGGCGATAGTCAAAGATGTTCGGTGGATTATGAGCTTTTAGGGTTTGTATGAGCATAATTACTATTATGTTGGTGGATAAACATATTTTTAGTTACTCTTGGAACAACTTGGATTTAGTTAGGTGATTATCATCTTCAAGCAAATTTGATGATGGTTTATGAGTTTTTAGTGAATTTAGTTAGGACATTGTGGTTTTGAGAAGATAGTCAAAGATGTTCGGTGGAATATTAGTTTTCAGTGGATTTAGTTTGGTGATTGTGATCCTGAGGAGATAGTTAAAAATGTTCGGTGGATTATGAGAATTTTAAGTGTAGTATGAGCATGGCTATATTATATTGGTTGATAAACATATCTTCAACTTCGGATTTAGTTAGGTGATAGTGTTCGGTGGATTATGATATTTTAGGTCTAGTACGTGAGCATGGTGATCATTATATTGGTGGATATACATATCTTCAAGTAATTTTGAAACACATTGGATTTAGCTACGTGATTGTGATCTTGAAGTAAATTTGTCGGTGAATTATGAGATTTTAGGTGGATTTAGCTAGGTGATTGTGCTATTGAGCAGACAGTTAAAGATGTTCGGTGGATTTTAAGATAGGGTAATAAGTGAGCATGACTATAATTGTATTGGTTGATAAACAGATCTTTAACTAATCTGGGAGCAATTTTAATTTAGTTAGGTAATTGTGATTTTAATTTAGTTAGGTAATTTAGTTGGATTTAGTTTGGTAATTGTGGTCTTGAGGAGATGGTCAAAGATGTTTGGTGTATATGTGATTTTAGGTATAGTATGGGCATGCCTACTTTTATATTGGTTGGTTAACATATGTTCGATTAATCTTGGAAGAATTTGGATCTAGTTATGTGATTGTGATCTTGAAGCAAATTTGACGGTGGATTATGAGTTTTTGGCGGATTTAGTTTGTAGATTGCGATCTTGAGGAGATAGTTAAAGATCTTTAGTGGATTATGAGTTTTAAGTCTAGCATGAGCATGGCTCTATTATATTGGTGGATAAACATATGTTTTGTTAATCTTGGAACACGCGAATACGCGTAGAGAACTAAGTATGAACCATGGCAGCAAAACCTTATAGATAAGACCTCACTACAAGAAGAAATAAAGTATCTCCAAGTGTGTCGAGAGAAGTCACTAGTGATGACCTCCTTTCGAGTCATAGGGAGATGGACCCCCAACATCAGAGTGAACAAGGTCGGAAGGACGTTGAGACACTGCCTCGCTATGAGTATAAGGTATTTGGACATGTTTACATAGCCGACAACCTTGATGGTTTAGAGACATCGTCGGAGATGGATCCAAGAAGACCACGTCATACTAAGGATGAGAGATCAAGTGACCCAAGTCGATGATGCCACTGCTGAAAATAATTGGTAGAAAAGGCAACAGAGGCAGAGACTGGCGGTGGAGGCAGCAGAGGGACTTGATCCAGCATCCCATGTGCATGTGCACTTTCCGTACCTTGCCGATCCGGATTGGTGTTCTTCTCCTGTTTGCAGGTTGTGGGTCACGCACTTGATTAAGCACCCCAAGTTCTCCTACTGTGAGCCCTTGGCCCCGGCTTTAGGTAGCGCCTTGTCCTCGGCTCATCCCGTGCATAATCCAGGTACGCGTCGACTGTCCGAGCTCGTGCTCACCATTGGTGGTGCTCGAGCGTGCGGTTATGGTGTCGCACAACAAGGGAACACGGGATGTGGGATTGAGACAACACCCATAGCAACCCGCAGCAAGGCAAAGGATGCCCATCCAAACTGGCAGGGAACGAAGGTGGAAACAAAGGTGTATGTTGACTTCATAGAAGTCTCAATAGTGCGCTCATCAGTAAGAGCAGCATGAGCAAGAAGATCTCATGGAAGTAGCAAAGAGGACCAAGACAAAGGTGGATTATGAGATTTTAAGTATAGTATGAGCTTGGCTATATTGGTTGATAAACATATCTTCCGTTAATCTTGGAACAATCTGGATTTAGTTAGGTGATTGTCATCTTGAAGCAAATTTGGCGATGGATTATGAGTTTTTGGTGGATCTACTTAGGTGATTGTTATCTTGAGGAGATAGTCAAAGATGCTTGATGGATTATGAGATTTTAGGTCTAGTATGAGCATGACTACTATTATATTGGTGGATACACATATTTTCAATTAATCTTGAAATAATTTGGATTTAGTTATGTGATTTTAATCTTGAAGCAAATTTGACGATGGATTATGAGTTTTTGATGGATTTAATTAGGTGATTGTGATCTTGAGGAGATATTAAAAAATGTAAGGTGGATTATGAGATTTTAGGTCTAGTACGTGAGAATGGTGACGATTATATTGGTGGATAAACATATCTTCAATTAATCTTGGAACACTTTGGGTTTAGTTAGGTGATTGTGATTTTTAAATCAAAATTCATGATGGATTATGATATCTTAGCCTGGATTTAGTTAGGTGATTGTCATATTGAGAAGATAGCCAAAGATGTTCCATGGATTATGAGATTTTAGACATAGTATAAGCATGTCTACAATTATATGAATAAATAATCATATCTTCAATTAATCTTGGAAGAATTTGGATTTATTTAGGTGATTTTCATCTTGAAGCAAATTTGATGATGGATTATGAGATTTTGATGGATTTAGTTAGGTGATTGTGATCTTGAATAGATAGACAAAGATTCGGTGGATTATGAGGTTTTAGGACTCTAGTATAAGCATGACTACTACTATTTGTTGATAAACATATTTTTTAATTAATCTTAATTTTTTTGGATTTAGTTAGGTGATTGTGATCTTGAAGCAAATTGGACGAGGGATTATGAGTTTTTTGATGGATTTAAGTACGTGGTTGTGATTTTGAGGAAATCGTCAAAGTGTTCGGTGGATTATGGGATTTGAGGTCTAGTACATGTGAATGGTGATTATGTTGGTGGATAAACAGATTTCCTTTTAATTTTGGAACACTTTGGAATTAGTTAAGAGATGGTCAAAGTTGTTTGGTGGATTATGAGTTTGTGGTTGATTTAGTTTGGTGATTGTGATCTTTAGGAGATAGTTAAAGATGTTCGGTGGATTATGAGATTCTAAGTCTATTATCAGCATGGCTATATTATATTGGTGGATAAACATATCTTTTGTTAATTTTAGAACAATTTGGATTTAGTTAGTGATTGTCACCTTGATGCAAATTTGATGATGGATTATGAGTTTTTGGTGGATCTACTTAGGTGATTGAGATAATGTGGAGATACTCAAAGATGTTCGGTGGATTATGAAATTTTGGGTCTAGTATGAGCATGACTACTATTATATTGGTGGATAAACATAGTTTCAATTAATCTTGAAATAAATTGGATTTAGGTAAGTGATTGTGATCTTAAAGCAAATTTGCTGGTGGATTTATTTAGGCGATTGTGATCTTGAGGAGATAGTCAAATATGTTTGGTGGATTATGAGATTTTTGGTCTAGTATGAGCATGCCTACTATTATGTTGGTGGACAAACATATCATTAATTGATGTTGAAAGAACTTTGATTTAGTTAGGTGATTATCATCTTGAAACAAATTTGACGATGGTTTATGAGTTTTTAGTGGATTTAGTTATGTCCCTGTGATTTTGAGGAGATAGTCAAAGATGTTCAGTGGATTATGAGGTTTTAGGGTTAGTATGAGCATGATTACTTTTATGTTGGTGGATAAACATATCTTCAATTAATCTTGGAACAACTTGGATTTAGGTAGGTGATTATCATCTTGAAACAAAATTGATGATGGTTTATGAGTTTTTAGTGGATTTAGTTAGGTCATTGTGGTTTTGAGAAGATAGTCGAAGATGTTCGGTGAATGATGTGTTTTTGGTGGATTTAGTTCGGAGATTGTGATCTTGAGGATATAGTTCAAGATGCTCCGTGGATTATGAGATTTTAAGTCTAGTATGAGCATGGCTATATTATATTGGTCGATTAACATATCTTCCGTTAATCTTGGAACAATATGGATTTAGTTAGGCGATTGTCATCTTGTAGCAAATTTGACGATGGATTATTAGTTTTTGGTGGATCTACTTAGGTGATTGTGATCTTTAGGAGATAGTCAAAGATGTTGTGTGGATTATGAGATTTTAGGTCTAGTATGAGCGTGACTATTATATTGGTGTATAACATATTTTCAATTAATCTTGGAATAATTAGGATTTAGTCATGTGATTTTTTTCTTGAAACAAATTTGACGATGTATTATGAGTTTTGATGGATTTAATTAGGCTGCGATCTTGAGGAGATATTCAAAAATGTTCAATGGATTGTGAGATTTTAGGTCTAGTACGTGAGAATGATGATTATTATATTGGTGGATATACAGATCTTCAATTAATCTAGGAACACTTTGGATTTAGTTAGGTGATTGTGATCTTGAGAAGATAGTTAAAGATGTTCGGTAGATTATGAGATTCTAGGCCTATTAGGTGAATATGGTGATTATTATATTATCGAATAGACAAATCTTCAAGCAATTTTGCAACACTTTATATTTAGTTAGGTGCTTGTGATCTTGAACAAAAATGCAGGTGAATTACAAAATTTTAGGTTGATTTAGGTAGGTGATTATAATCTTGAGAAGATATTAGGTGGATTGTGAGTTTTTTGGGTTAATAGATGAGCATGATGATTATTATATTATTGGATAAACAAAACAAATATTTAGTTAATCCAGGAATAATTTAAATTTTTATAGGTGATTGTGATCTTCAACTAAATTTCACGATGGATAATAAGATTCTAGGTGGATTTAGTTGGGTGATTGTGTTATTGAGCAGATAGTCAAAGATGTTTGGTGGATTATGAGATTTTAGGCTAGTAAGTGAGCATGACTATTATTCTATTGGTGGATAAACAGATCTTTAACTAATCTTGGAGCAATTTTGCTTTAGTTAGGTGATTGTGATCTTGAACCAATTTCACGGTGGATTATGAGATTTTAGATGGATTTAGTTAGGTAATTGTGGTCTTCTGGAGATGGTCAAAGATGTTTGCTGTATTATGTGATTTTAGGTATAGTATGGGCATGCCTACTTTTATATTGGTAGATTAACATATCTTCAATTCATTTAGGAAGAATTTGGATTTACTTATGTGATTGTGATCTTGAAGCAAATTTGATGACAGATTATGAGTTTTTGGTGGATTTAGTTTGTAGATTGTGATCTTGAGGAGATGGTTAAAGTTCTTAGGTGGATTATGAGATTTAAATCTAGTAATCTTGAAACAATATGGATTCAGTTAAACGATGGATTATGACTTTTTGGTGGATCTACTTAAGTGATTGTGATTTTGAGGAGATAGTCAAAGGTGTTTGGTGGATTATGAGATTTTGGGTCTAGTATGAGCACGACTACTATTATATTGATGGATAAACATATTTTCAATTAATCTTGAAATAATTTGGATTTAGTTAGGTGATTCCGCTCTTGAAGCAAATTTGATGATGGATTATGAGTTTTTGATCGATTTAATTAGTTGATTGTCATCTTGAGGAGATAGTCAAAGTTTGGTGGATTATAAGATTTGATTATTTTATTGGTGGATACACAGATTTTTAATTAATTTTTGAGCAATTTGGATTTAGTTAGGTGATTATGATCTTGAACCCAATTCCACGATAGATTATGAGATTTTAGCTGGATTCAGTTAGGTAATTGTTGTCTTGTGGAGATAGTCAAAGATGTTTGGTGGATTATAAGATTTTTGGTCTAGTATGAGCATGCCTACTATTATGTTGGTGGACAAACATATCATTAATTGATGTTGAAAGAACTTTGATTTAGTTAGGTGATTATCATCTTAAAACAAATTTGATGATTGTTTATGAGTTTTTAGTGGATTTAGTTACGTCCCTGTGATTTTGAGGAGATAGTCAAAGATTTATGAGATTTTAGGTCTACACCTAGTTTCAATGGATATGCTGCCATACGTGACACCTAAAGAAGCAGTTGCTATTTATCCAACTCTTTCCCGTGCACATCTTTGGCACAAGGTTCATGAAAGTGTTGCTATGGATCTTTGCCAAGTTATGGGTCAGGAGTTGGATGCGCTGGAGATTGAGACAGTACAGAAGGAGACAATACATCCAAGGAAGAGTTGCAACATGAACAGTTCATGTGCAGATGTCCTTTTTGCTGCACATAGGTGGCAGATGTCCAAACCAAGCTTAGTTTCTGCGTCAAAGGATGTCTTCGATCAGAAATCCAGTAACAAGCACTGGATTGATGTGCAACCAAGATGGGGAGATTACAATTCACACGACATAGAACTTTACGCAAGAGCAAAATTTATGGACTACGTGACAGATAATTTGTCCATCTACCGTTCTCTGACTGGTATGATTTTGAGTGTCCATTGACTGTCAATTTCTTGCCATGTCGGAGTCTTCTGTGCTTAATGTTGATTAATATTTCTTGCAGGGGTGATGATTGGACTTGATCTAGCTTATAATTTGCACTCTGCTTTTGGTAATTGGTTCCCCGGGTCAAAGCCCCTCCTTCAGCAAGCAATGAATAAGATCATGAAGGTAATAACCATGCTAACTGTAACAAATCTAGATATCTCTGTTGTAGTAAAAAAATATCTTATTTAATACAGTAAATGACATGCTTGTTTATTTTCTCTTTTGACAGTCGAATCCTGCTCTGTATGTGCTGAGGGAGAGAGAGAATAGGAAACGGTCTTCAGTTCTATTCATCTGAACCCACCGCCCACCGAGCCATATGTCTTCACAGAACTACGGTACGGAGAGATATTCAGCAATCAAATCATATGGTTTGTTGATGACACAAATGTCTATCGAGTTACGATTCACAAAACTGTGGGTAACCTGACGGCCAAACCAATCAATGGTCCTATCTTTATTTACCGAAAAAGGCTTTCGCCCTGCTTTATAGATAAAGCAAACCAACACAGCCAAACGGTACAACATAAGTTCACCCGCACACACACACACACACAGTCGCACAACATAGAGTACAAATAGGTTCTGCTGAGGGCACAGCTCAACAAGCCCTGAAAAAGAAAAAACGAAGGCGGGTCAACCGCAGCAGCATCCAAGGATCTAATCCGGCTCGGGTGGTACCTATCTTTATTTTTAATCCAAGAACTGGTCAACCAACTATTTCTGAAGGTTTGTTCCCTTTGTTTTGCTTTTAGCTCTAGTTTTCTTGCAATTATGGCATACTGCGCAGTATCACAACTTGGAAGACTTGAATGAAAATGCATTATAATCTGCTGGTCATCCACACAAGTGTATGGGCAGGACAAAAGTGTCTAGGGCAGGACAAAGCTAATTATTGTGACAAGGAAGGGTCTGTTGGATCCCTTGGAAGTCAAAGCAAATTATTGTGACAAGGGTATGAGCAAGCAGAATTTGCATCGAAGACAGATTTGCATGTCAGGGCCATCTCTGCTATGAACCTGTATCTCCGTGTCAACCACATTTATGTTAACTCGGATGATATAAAGGTCAGAGGAGCAATTTATGTTCTTTGATTTACCCATAAAATTGCCAAATAACAATGGTCAAATGGCTACTGACTGTGTGTATATTCTGTGTACAGGAGACTGGCTATACTTACATCATGCCAAAGAATATATTGAAGAATTTGATATGCATAGCAGATCTACGGACACAGGTTGTAGGTTTCCTGTATGGGCTGATTCCACGGGATAATCCTCAAGTCAAGGAGATGAGATGCATATCCATTCCGCCACAGCATGGAGGTCACCAAATGGTGAATTTGCCAGCGAATCTCCCAGAGCATGAGTTCCTTGCTGACTTGCAGCCATTGGGACCCAGCCGAATGAAGCTCCTCAGCTATCACCTCATGTTTGTCTCCTACCATTTGTATCTTCAAATGTAACCTTGTTATTCTTATCCAAAATCAAAATTAAGTACTCCCTCCAATCCATATTAATTGTCGCTGATTCAGTTCAAATGTCCAAGGAGTAGCTGAATTTGAGTGCACAATTCTGTAATTCCTGATCAAGCAGATTTATACCTTTCCATGAGTGGCTAATTGTCTCTCCTTGGACATTTCAATTCTGATGAATGCGAATATTAAAATGCATGTCATACAAAATTTAATCTTTCCAACTCACACTGCACTAAAAAAAAAAGGGCAACCTGGTGCATGTAGCTCCCGCTTGCGCAGGGTCCAGGGAAGGGTCCGACCACTTTGGGTCTATAGTACGCAGCCTTTCCCTACATTTCTGTAAGAGGCTGTTTCCAGGACTTGAACCCATGACCTCATGGTCACAAGGCAGCAGCTTTACCACTGCGCCAAGGCTCCCCTTCCCAACTCACACTGCACTGTACATACAAATTTGTTATTGTTGGTTCTTTTTTTTCTTGCACATTTTACCAATGATTGTTTCTTTACCTGGGATAGTTTCAGTGCCGAATTGTTGGTTCTGTTTTTTTGGCACATTCTGGTAGTATAGTCCATTTTTGTCTGTGAGCCAGTGTGTCTCTACTGAACTGTATTCTGTAGTTTCTTGCACATTCTGTTGTTTCTTTCTTGCACACAGTCTCATATACTGAACTGTTAGTTCTGTTGTTCCTTGCAGGATTTGGCATGACATGCTAAAATTTTGGAGAAGAACAAGGCGTGGCATGGTGAAAAGTCCATCATTTTGACCTGCCGGTGAACAACTTGAGTCAGTGGTTATGTTTGCGAGAAGAAAAAAACCTATCGTGGTCAGTGGTTATCACTTGTCAAACTGAATCGTTATCGTCAAGTGGATGTTTTGCTTGGTGTTATCATCCTTGCCTCGTTGATTCTTTATGATTTGAGCTTCTTTGTTGAAGTTTAATGTGTTATGTTCATCTGGTTGCTCCTCTTCTTAAGATTGGAGCACTTGCAGATTTCTGTTGCTAGATTAAGTTTACTATGTCGGTCATTGTTTGGTTATATATCTCCGTCAGTCAGTTTTGTGACTGAGAGCAAATCAGTTGTTCTGGACCTTGTCAAACCTCAGCTATTGCTTGAGCCAGTTCTGGGATGGTGACGCCTTGAAGAGTCTGGTTAAAGCAAGCCAGGGCATCACTCATTGCCACGTAATAACCGACACCTGACAGCAATAGCAGTGGATGTTTCTTCTTCCTTGTGACTAGAGTTGTTTTGACAGTAACTTGGATTATGAGGTAATGAAGATTGTTTCACATTACTATATATCTTGCGGATACTTTAATCGCCTCAAAGCATTGGTTTGTCGATATATTACTTTTAGGCATGCAAATATACCAGATTAAGTAAGGGAAAGGAATCAAACAAGTGATTTGATTTGATTTGCAGCAAAAGACTGAAAGGAATTGTTCCTTGAGAACTTGGAATAGTGATGGTAACTGAGAATTATATCACACTAAAAAACTAAGAATTATATCAGTAATTGTAACTGTCCTGGGATGATAAGCAGTTGCACTGTCGCCTGAGCTATTGTTTCTGTTTCCGTGGAGCATTTTAATATTCACATTCAGAATTCAGATATATAATTATGCTGCAGAGACTGTATTCTCAGTTTCTGAATGCAAGCAGTGTAGCTAGCCCACTGAAATCTAGAGGCAGCCAATCTGCTACCTTTATAATTTGTGTCTATTAATACTGGGTAACTGCTATATCAATGTAGCTTATTTTTGTGTGTGCTGTACTTGTGCACTGTGACTTAAATAAGAATTTGGGGAAATATTTTTACGCTCCCAGTAAACTTGTGTATTTTCTGCTAATAATCTTGAGAAAGTTCATACGTTTTCTGGTTAATCATGGCAGCGTCGTCCATGATGTTTGCTTGCAACTGTGTCATACTACATCCATATTAGCGATAAGTAATTCCGAACGGAGGAAGTAGTTAATTTTTCGCCCACATCTAGTAGAAGATCCATACTTCATGCCGGTCATCAGAGTATTTTTTTGGAGTCTGCTATTTTTCCATGTTCCTGCTCCATGCTGGCAAGAGTTGGATCGCATTGCCCCTTGTTTTCTGAAATTTTCCCAATGACATGAGTTTCTTGTTGGTAATTCAATAAAACAATCCGTTTTTATGTGACCTGATTTCATCGAGGGAATGAAGTATTTGTTAACAAATAGTAACAAGCACAGTGAGCTTTTTGTGCGTTCTCCAGGCACAGGCATCATTGGGCCAGCAGTCTGAAGGTAGAGGAAGGTGCATGGCAGCACATGATCCATCCTGTACCAGCAATGGAGAGGAAATCTATAGAAATGGAAGAGAGGAGATTTAGTGTACTACCATCCATCCATGGATCCATCCAATACTACCATCGTGTTGTGTAATGAGTCGATGTTTCAGTATCATCTTCACAAAAAAGATGCTTCGGTATTATATTATGTTGGAATAGATGAATGTACGTTTAGTAGTGGGTATCCCACTAAACCCACATATCCCACTTAATAATATGTTGGTTTTGACAGGCATCCCATGCCAGAGACCTGACATCGCCGGAGAGGTGGCGAGCGGAGAAGGCTGAGGAGGGGCTGAGGACGGTCATGTACCTCAGCTGCTGGGGCCCAAATTAGGAGTACTATTAGCTGGGGGTGTTGAGTTAGTTGCAGCTTATGCTTATGTTATGTGACAATCCCCACATGATCGGTTGTAAAGATACCATGATGATGACAATGATGAAAATTTCGGCTATGAGTTTACATCACCCTCCTTGTTCATGTGCTTATGTGACTAGTTTCCGGACAAAAGGCCAAAGGCCACGATCTTTATCAAGAGAGGAAGAAAGTTCAGAATTACACAGAGTAACTCAGCAAAGCAAGCAGAGAGGCATACAGAGAAAAAAGAGCAGGTTCAGCTACCTGTAGGAAACAGCCCAACCAGATTATTCTTTCCTGATTATTTTCATGGAGTCGACCGGCTGTGCATGCGATGAGATCGTTGGTGGCGAACCTGTTATGAATTCCGTTGATCTGCACTCTGCTGAACGTACGGCACGATACCAAATTCAACCGAAAGCTTGATCAGAGTGATGCTGTTTACTAAGACAGCATTCATAAGTTAAGTAAACGTGTGTTTTTTTCTGATCAGAGTGATGACAGTGGGACACAGCGCAGGCCCGTTTGCAGCCGTAGGTGCTCCTCGTGGAACGCTGACACGAAGAAGCAGACCGTCATGGGCGGCTGGTATCGTGGAAACCATGGCCTCCGGCCTCTGGTTTCCCCTGCCCGTCCGCGTCTGCCCGATAGCATGTGGCCAGACGGTGCAGTTAACCTACGTGTGCGGTGTGAGTACGACTGAACTTCGTTGCAGAAAGGAGGGTTGTTAGTTTAATAATCATCACTTGCCGATCCCAAAACAGGGAGAAGATTCGGGGAGGCTACGTGCCCGTTCTGGACTGAATGTTGGCAGATGTGCATGATGCAGAGAGTATCTTTATCTTGCTGGATAACACACTGACTTGAGCACAGTGACAGGCTGACAGCAGCACACAAGTCGTGGCACGCCGCAATTCCCAGCCTCGGCTGGCGTCCGACAGCAACCTGGGGCGCCAAGCTAGCTAGGCACCCGGGGGTTTTCAATCCTAGCTCAGCACCGTTTTGTGTGGCTGGATGATGTGAGCTCAATATGCGCATTCACTCTCGAGCTTGTGTAAGATGCGGTACATACTGTATCTCCATGACCCCAGAAGGATTTCAGAAACAGAGACTGGGGGTCACTTCCCGCGCCTCCTCCCGGCTTAGCTGCAGTTTGCATGCGGTTGCTCAGAATTCGCAGCAGGGAAGGGCCTTCATACAATCCATCATCGTTACTCGTTACTTCGTTAGGCAGGCAGTCATATGACGAAGGGAAGACATTCCATTCAGCTGTCAAAAACGGCATATTGCTGCATGAACTATTTGCCAACAGAGTAGCCTGGTTCCTGAAGTCCTTGCTCGGTTGCTCCCATATAAGCATTACCTGCAGCAGCAGCCTGAATATGTTCAGAAGCAGCAGCAGTTCTGTGGTCAGTTCTGAATATTTTCAGTGTGAAGCCAGACATGTAATAGATGTGATGATCCTGTAAATAGGCGCACAAGATGTTACAATCAGATCAAGTCAACCAATCGCCAAATACAGGAAACTTGAGTTCAAGCTTACAAACATAAGATACATTTGGCATGATTTACTGGGAACAATATCATGCACACAGTTTGCACTGGTAATCGTTTGGGCCAACCATTGAAGATCTTCTGCGGTCAGTTCTTAACATCTTCTGTGTGAAGTCGGACATATAACACATGTGATAGTCCTATAAAAACGCACACAATATAAGTACTATTACAATAAGATCAAGTCACCCAATGACTAATACAGAGAACTTGGATTCAAACTTACAAATATAAGTGTTCTTGGGGAAAAAAACTTGCAAATATAGGATGTCACAAACTAAACAATCATAGGGTTCGTCACACAACACAAAAGGTATGCTACTGGGCATTAAATGCCACTTTTATTAGGAAAATAACAGAAAACTGTCACATAAGAACAAACCGTACACATACCCGCACCATGAAGAATAAAAGGGTGGTGCAGTGTTACACGCTTCCAACTTGATGATCCTCCTGCCTCTCAAGGATGCCCGCATGAGTGAGTAAAGCCCACAGGTGCGTGATGAACTCCCCACCATTCCCGAGCTCCTCGATGTGCTCCTTAACATTATCTGATGGCGCAAGGTAGAGCAACATCTCTGCCCAGAAATCAGCCAGCACCTTCCAACGGTGTGTCACATCTTCAATCTCCTCGAGCTGCTTCCCCAGCTTGGTGCCGCCCTCGAAGATGGTCTCCTCTGATTCTGCTAAATTCCTCATCACTTCATACCTGTCCCTCGAATTTTTCAGGAATTTGGTTGCTTCCACTGCAACTGCATCAAGCACAGACAGTGTATCATATCGGTGGCCAGGAAGAAGCTTTCGTGCAGAGACCACCAAGTACGCACAGTATTTTGATAGTTTCGTGGCAACGTCAAGATGGGGCCTGAGTTTTTCTTCATCATCTGAGCGAAGGTTTTTCATTGTTGTCATCTCACAGTAACATGTTGCTATGTGCCAAGTCATGATAAGGTGCGTCTGGTTCTCCTTTCCCAGGAAGCGGCTTATATTTGGGTAGATGTCCTGTCCACAAGCCCATAGGAGGTGCTCTGCTCCATTTGACACCAACGATGAATTCCCATTTGTTAGTTTGCCATCAGTACGTTCAAGGGAATGGACAATTGCCTCCTTTACTTCTGTAGGCAACTCGATGGGTTTACCAGGTTTCATGCAGATCACTGATGCATCATAACTAGTTCGGTGCATGTGTGCTCTATCAAAAAGAGTAAACCATCTGACTGCTGAGTATATAAATTCCCCGAATTTGTTGATTACTCTATGCTCTTTCTTGGAAGGGTTAGAATTGCAGCTGACTGATTCAAGCAAGGAGTACTGCCCAAGCTTGTGTTGCCAGTAGTGTTTGTCTGACGCACAATAAACACCAATCTTGGTAAGAAGCTCTTTTAATCTCATCAAGCAGTGGCACCCCCTTCTGTCCAATACTGATTGCTGTCTGATAAACTGACAAACATAGGATACTCTCGCCCAAATGGCTGTCCAATAATGTAACAACTGCAGCAATTCAAGCAAAGCAGCGCATGCAAGTAGTGATAAGGTGATCACAACCTCCGTTTTGGTGTTCACAAGAAGGGGCTCATCCTGATCACATCGAATGATCAACAGACGGGTGGCTACTGTGTATGCTGTAAGAGAAATGCAGATGACTGAAGCCAAGGACCAAAATGTTGCAGCCGTTGATGCATAATAAATGACAGCATACTTGGTGAAGAAGCAATCATACATGAAGGCCAACTCTATCTCAATAACCCTGAAAATCCTATTGCAGTCTGTAGCATTCTCTGATAGCAGCCCCTTGAAGACAAAATCATGTGCCCTTTCTTTGGATTCACAACAGGCAAGCCCAAAGTAGCGCCTTCTCAACAGATGAAAAAGGGAGAAGGAAAGGCATGCATATTTTAGCTCTAGGCCTATTGAACTATCATTGCACTGCCATATCTTCTCAATGTCAATGACTTCATCATCCTCTGCTGTTAATACTGTTGCAAATGATGAAGTACCAAGCTTGGATTTGCTGAGGGGCCAATCAACCAGGTAATGGCAACCTTCCATGGTGGCAGGAACAAATTCACCCCTGGTGTGCTCGTCATACATGTAATCAGCAACCATTTTATTCAGTTTCCATGTGTTGCTTGCCATCACACACACCGCTAGTCTCTGTAAGGATTTTAGTACAGCAATGAAATGTAGAAAAATAACTGGGCAGGTAAGTAAACCTTTTAGATGACTATCATCAATCGACATGCTAACATGAAAGGCACCATCACTTGATGTTACTGATAACAAAAGCAACACCACATACACATACCAGAGTGAAGTATGGTATGTGTATATTAAAATGCTCTGTCTGGTGTCATCGAGACTAGAAGCCGCCATAGCGTCAGTAGAACCATGAAGGAGGAAGAGAGATATGGCCCATATGGAGTACATGCTGCTCTTCACTGCAGAAGATTGCATTGAACCGAATATGTATGTTATCAGTGAGGAGGATAAGGTACACATGCCAAAAACAACTTTCAGGATGAACAAGTTTTTGTGCTGGCGACGATATGCTCCAAAGGTAGCAAGAAACAGGAAGAGAGCAGCAGTCAGTAATACAAATACTTCTATCCGGGTCACTGTTCCCCTTGAGCTCTTCGACAAGTATCTTGCATAATGTAACAAGCTCGTCACTGTAGCATTCCCAAGATGATTCTCGGTCTTGAACAGCTTGCAGTAATCATTAACCTTCAATGAGTAGATCCGTTGTAATGTGCAATTCATAATAAAAGAAACAGATCTAAGAACAATCTAGCTCAATGTTTACATATGTTAATTGCAGGCCCTTTCAAAGTGACTGCCCTGAATTTTACTCTTTCTAAACCTAGAAATGATAAATCTTTTTTTATAGGAAAAAAAGCAATCGATGGATAAAGTATTGGAATGCCCCATTGCAGAATTTGATAACAGGAAAACTGGAAAAGGAGCTCCATACCTTGTGATTACTCATTTCCTCAGCTGAGTCGAGCTCCCCGCACTGGATCTTTCTTCTTCCTCTAGAGCCTAGCCACTATTGGTATTCAACTGCAAGCACAAATGGCGATCCATGCCATTAATGGGTGCAGTAGGCGGTCAGATGCTTCCCTTGTTTAAGCTCAACTTGCCCTGCAGATACATATTTTACAGGCGACGACTCAGGGTTTAGATCAGTCTCTATCTTTATCATGACTCTAGAAGGGAAAGCCTTGACAAGTTTTTAATGATGAGATTGAAAGGACCGAGCAAGGACTCAGCTTAGAAAATTTACCCGGCTAAGGCGGCGAGGACGTCACATCTCACATGGACACGAGAAGGCTGGAGTGCGGGAGTCGCCGCCCCAAACATCCCAAGGAACGTGGCAGGCGCGCTCCCTGAGGCCGGCGGTGGAGCGGCCCTGTCTCGCGCCGCATCTAACTCCGGCAACACCCCCGCCCCCACTTCTCCGTCAGACGGGACAGAGGGGAGGTACGGCCCGGCGCGGTGGTGGGCATTTGAGGTAACGGATGCGGGGAGAGGGGCAAATAGATAATGCGACGGCGCACGGCTACTCCCTCCTCCGCCGGCGGCGCCGGCGAGGGCAGCGGCTACCTTCCTTCCAGTCCAGCTCATTACATCACCTTCGGCCTTTGTTTTTCCATTTTGGGCCCAACCTGGCCGAAAATACTCCACTGGGCCGCAAGTGGGCAGGATTTTCACTTGCGTCCTTGCACATCCAAAAGCAACCGCCAAGATTCAAACAATTGCACCTGCAAGAGCTATATAATACCACCGAAATTCAAACATTTGCATCTGCAAGATTTATACTATAATTATGATGACAACACTTGTATTTGCATTGGGTGGGGTCCACGGTTCTTATGGTTCGGGTCATTTTTGGGGGGGAGGACACTTCATAAAATCCTTTACCTTGGCTACAATTGTAGGGAACACTTCATAAAATTATTTATTCGGAGTGGGTAATTCAACACCCCCTAATGGTTTCCCATGCTTAAGAACCATCCAAAGAAGCATAGTTGGATATTAGTACTGGTAAATCAAAAGTAACGTGCCACCCATATCTTGCTTAATTCCTGGTTCTAATTGGTCTTTGGGCAGTTGTAAACAGTTGAGAAAAAGTAAATCACAAACAAAGTCTCATGTCATCAAAAACAAATCGCAGAAGAGGGCTATGGGCAGTAACCATTGTCAAGGAAATAGAAACATAGTATGAACATATTTGCAGACAGTTGAGAAAAAAAATCCTTCAAATAGTTCACTCAGTTTCTGGGCTGGAGTTGATCTCTGCGACAATTGGTGCAACGGGTTATGTCGTGGAATTGTCACGGCAGATGTCCTTAGTATGAGGACTTAGTCGCGAGGCCAACGCATCTATGTGGTAGCTTGAGAGGGGTTGGACGGAATCGAGAGACGCTAGGCGGATCATCACACAAGACGAGGGTTTAGACAGCTTCGGGCCCTGAGAAACATCATCCGGAATAGCCCTACATGCTGTTTGAGGCTAGGTCTCATTATGCTCATCGAGAGTCGCCGCATAAGCCGGCTCCCCCTTTGTGTCTAGCCCTAGATATTGTTGTTGTTACTTGTCCCTCTTTGGGGTGCCCTGTCCCTCCTTATATAAGTTAGAGGGGCGGGTTACATGTGGAGTCCAAATAGAATTAGGACTAGCCTATCTTCTACTACAAGCCGGATACAAGTCCGGGTCTTGATTTCTTGTAAGGAAGATATTCCTCACACCTTTCCTCTTAAGCCGGCCTACCATAACATAAGCCGGCCTTCTGGGCCTTGAGCCTCCCGAGCCCCCGGGTCTTGTCGCTCCTCTGATCCGCTTGCCAGGTCACCCATAAGTCGTCAGGATCGGGCGGGTCACTTAGTACGTCGTCCAGCCAGGGCGGGTCATTAGTGAGTCGCCAAGCCCGGCAGGGTTATACTTCCGGCCGGGTTACCACTACTAGGAAAATGCCTACTAATGGCGCACCGGTTTTGCCTACTAATGGCGCACTACCGGTGCGCCATTACTATCACGCCACTAGTATTTTTTACTAATAGCGCATCACTGGTGCGTCATTAGTATAGCTCACGCGCACCACATAGAAGTGCGCCATTAGTAACATATTTAAAAAAAAACATTTTTTTCAGAATTTTTTTTATTTTTTTTCAATTTTTTTTCGTTTTTTTCTTAATCTCAGGTCACTATGGCTTAATCTCGGGTCAATATGCTTAAATTCAGGTCAAATCGCACTCCGTGGTCAAACTTCTCAAAAGGTCACCCATCCTCACACTACTCCAGCCCAAGCACGCTTAACTTCAAAGTTCTGTCCAACCCCAGCAACAGCTCACTTCACAGGCACTTGTTGATATATCTAGCATATCAATCCTATTATACCTTGTTGATGTCTAGGACTTTGTTCATGTTCATGACTATGATGAAATTTTGAAAAATATTTCAAACTTCCCGGTCATATTACGTATCATTTTTTGAAAAACAATTCAAAAAAAAATTCAAAATCATTTTTTTTGAATTTTTTTGCCTCTAGATCTTGAAAGCCCCGTAACTTTTTTCTGTTAGGTTTTTGGGGATTTTGAAAATGTTTAACGGGGTTCCCCCAGTTAAGTTCGGATGTAACTTTTCGAGTAGATGATTTTTCATATATAAAACTTTTTAATCCGAGTTCGTATGCAAAAGTTATGCCCATTTTACAAATTTCCAGAGAGATTTTGCAAATAAAGTCGAAATTTATATTTGTAAATTTTCCCAACAACTAGACCACATATCACATGGAAAACTTATTTTCTTTTATTTTTTTTTGACATTTTTATCATTTTTTTTATTTTTTTAAAACTGAAAAGGCGGTCCACAGGGGGGTGCATTCGGTGGAAGCTGGGTAACTAGTAATGGCGCACCGTGGATGGTGCGTCATTAGTAGTTAAACTAGTAATGGCGCACCACACCCACGGTGCGCCATTACTAGTTTTGAAAAAAAAAATATAAAAAAAATTGAATTTTTTTTTTGAAAAAAACTTAGTAATGGCACACCTGTGGACAGTGCGCCATTACTAGTTAAAACTAGTAATGGCGCACACTAATAATGGCGCACTGTCCACTGGTGCGCCATTGCTAACAATTTTTTTCAAAACTACTAATGGCGCACGGTGGGTGTGGTGCGCCATTACTATGTCAACTAGTAATGTTGACATAGTAATGGGGTGCGCCATTAGTAGTTTTGAAAAAAATTATTTTTTTTACTAATGGCGCACTGTGGGATGTGGTGCGCCATCAGTATTTGCACACTAATGGCGCACCAACACATGGTGCGCCATTAGTATTTAGTAATGGCGCACCACATGTACAGTGCGCCATTAGTGTCCATCCCATCTATAACCCTTTTCCTAGTAGTGTACACCGCGGGGTATATCGCCGACATTAGCCCCCAAGTTTAGCTTGGATTTATCCATGGTAAACTTATGTTGCAAAATAAACACAAGAACAAATTTGACAGGTTGTGCTCCGGGTTAAGAGTTCTTGTAAACCGGCACCTGAACATCCTTAAGTCCTTGTCATTTCCTTCTTCTAGAAAATCCGGGTCAATAGACCAGCTTCACAATCCATTTGCTTGTAAAAGACATATTGTAAACAAATAATCTATTTGAGTCGGCTTCCAAAGCACCGGCTTAAAAAATATAGGTCTTGAAATACTCATCTGATTTTCAACCGGCTTAAAGATGTAGATCTGCCGAGTTATAATTTCCAAAATATCCGGGTTATAAAAGACTGATGATGTCGAGTCATAATTGTTGTTAACACCGGGTCATGTAGTTGATCTTCCTGATTTACTCAAAGCTGAGAACTTGAAGATGTTCCTTCTTTATATGCATAATACCTGTAGCCCCCAAGTCTTAAGAGGAGAACATAGTGATAACTTAAGATTTGCTTCAATATAAGTATTGCAACCTTAAAGAAATCCGGGTTATTCATCTCAATCATATAAACTGAATATTCCACACATGTAGCCCCCAAGTGTTGGGTTGTCATGCTTGCAGCAACCTGGAACTTGTAATTGCTTTATGCTCATGAAAACATCAACCAGTGATGCCCGGTCCACATGGCGTCATAATAGTCAATGGAAACACGAAACGCTACCTCCGTATGGAGGAGCACACTGCGGCTCTCACGGCCGAAGTACACAGCGGCCCTATCAAGCCGCACACCTCATCGACCATCAAACCGCCGGACATTGTTAAATGAGTCCGATCAGTTCCGCAAACTGACAGCTCGGTAATTCCAGAGCTAGACTAGCAGTTTCGCCTCCGTCGACCGCCGCACACACCCGCGGAATTTGTACCGCACATGCGTCACTACGTACTCAAAATACCTTGGGCATCAATGGAGGCACAATACGGACAAGTCTATAGTACGGTTCGACCCTGTACGACCTTACACCTTTTTCTTCGATTACTTTCTCTCCTACCACAGGTGCATTCGAACCTATATATCCTACAGACTTACAAGGACTCTCTTCGAGCCCGGTTTCGTGAAGATAACCGAAGACCATTCCTTTTAAGGAACCCCTCTCTACAAGGCGAAAGCGGCGCAGACGTGCGGCAGGATATCCAAAGGATTCTTCAGACCAAACCTAATTCAAAGGACCTGTATTAAGCTTTTCTCCTTATTCTTAGATCCCCGACATGTAAAATGGCTTTGGTGCTTATGGTACCCTCTGTAAGATCACATTTTGACGAATCAATCAGATTAAAGTGAGGACAATTTTTCGGTATCAACTTTATTCATAAAATTGTACTCCGTCTCCCCAGTTGTCTCACTCACATACCTCGACACCCATTGTCAGGGGCTCTATACGGCCACATATGTGTCGCCAAACAAAAGCCCGAACAGCTTTGTAGCATACTTCGGCGTCCCGAACTTGGCATTATATGCATCAGCTCCGAACCATGTCTTTGGTCAATAGTTGGGTT